CAAGGTCAGCGGTTCCGCAGGAGAAACATGAGGCTTTCTGCTCCCGTAAAGATTTGCAGCCTCGGAAACCCTGTACAGACAGGGTCGCTATGAGTCGGAACCGACTCCACGGCACATAACAACAACAAATGTTATTGTTGTTAAGTGCAGTTGAGTCGATTCTGATCTATAGCGACCCTGTACAGGGTTTCCAAGGAGCAGCTGGTGAGCTTGAAACACTGACCTTGCAGTTCAAACGACTTTGCAGTCTGACACATTAGCCCACAGCAGAGCTCTTCAATTATCGAAAGTCTAAAATTCTATCAAGCAACTCTTCTCCAATACAAATTCATATATCCAAGTTCCTCATTCAAAGGCACCTCCCCCTTTTCTGTTTTATCTAGGACTTTGTACTGGTTCCCCCACCCCTACCCCATTCTGTCATGATTAAGGAAGCAAACCCAAAACAAACGCAAATTTCTATTTAATTGGAGTTTAATGAAATGATAAAAGTCACAGGTGGAAGCCCTGCTAGAAAGAAACTTATATCCCTCTTTAAAAAAACAAAGGCAGTGTACATACTGCATAGCAACCAAATTACTGCCTGATGAACTGCGCAGCAAAGTCACAAACAACGGTGCCAACTGCACTACTTTGAACGTATGTCACTCTCAACAGTTCTGCCCCAATCCAATCTCATCCATCAGGCTACTGAAAGGGCTCACTATGCCTCTTCCAAGATTCCCATTCCAGGGCACTGACCCATTTATAATTTTTCCCATTATGGTTATTATTCCAGATCAACCAAATTTTTTAATTCGAGTCTGTTCCAATTTTGCTTCCGACCATGACTGAACATGAGCTGGTTCAAACAGCTCGACATTTTATCTGACTCCCTCACATATAATGGAGTCCTGTGTGTGGTGCTGTGGGTTAATGCACTGGGCCACAAGGTGGGTTTGAATTGGAACCGACTCTACAGCACTTAGCAACAACTCACATATAATTATAGGGCCTACAATAGTATCTTAAAATTTGTTTATGATTATATATACTATCGCTGCTGGGAAAGATTGTTGCCATCACCAATAACTGCTAAAAATGAATCAAGACTCACTTTTTTCTACAATCTTTAACTTCTGGAAGCTTTCCAGTACCTCCCCATTTAGTATTCTGGGTAAGAAGTCCCGTATTTGCATCACTTCAGTTGTCAGCCGTTCCAGGTCCTTCTTTCTGACTTTAACAAATTCTTCTTTAGTTCCCATGTGCTAAAAGAACAAGCAGACCTTAAGATAATTACATTTCTCTTCAAATGACTAAAACTAGCCATCCAAGTCAAGTTGCTTCCTTTAACTAGCTCAAAATTGTTTCAAAACCCTGTTTTTTCTAATGTGCCTATTGCTATGTATGTCTATTATATTCTGAAAGCCAAAGCCCATACTTCCCAATGGGAGCCAGATAGAAGGGGAAGAAATAGTGTAAACAGGTGCCTTAATCTAAAAAGCCAAAGAAAATGCCAGAAACTTTTTTGCTAGCATTTCAGCATCCTGAAATTAGAAAGAAGTCACCTTTACTGGATTCCTACTACGGGTGCCAAGCCCTTTGCTGATTTCTCATTTAACATTCACCACAATCTGTTTTAGTTGCCCAGCAAGAAACTGAACAGGGAGCTCTGGGGATGTCCTGGATGTAACACAATGAGGGAAGGAGCCCTCAGGAGTTGAAGCAGCTCTGGATCCAAAGTCTTCGTACTTGCTTCTCATCCCATGCAATGGAAGTTGCAACTAAGCAACCCACGGAGACCAGATTGTCTCTAAACCTTACACTAAACCCTGAAGCACGGGGCCAAAGGCCTTAAAATGAGAACGGGATTTACGGTGGACACAATGAGATTAACCGTTTGTCTCACTCTATCATCTTCATCTTCACTTGATTTCATCCCTCATGCCCAAACTCCGGTCCCCACCCAAACCCCAGGAAGAGGCACACTAGTGTTAGCTTCTGGGGCAGACACCTCCACAGGCCTCAACAGACAATCACATCAAGCCCAAATCCCCACTCCCACCCTGACTAGTCCACGCCATCTGTGGAGAGGTCTGAGTAAATCGCCAGACCTCCACGACCACAAGACAGCGGAGCCATTTCCAAGATTGGGAAGCTCCGGTAGGGAACATGGAAGCACATGGTGACAAATGGGACACCCGGGACCGGGCCTCCTGACTGACCCGGTAGACCTCCTCAGAAATTTTAGCCTCGCCCATGGCAGATAATACTAGTTCTTCTGCCTGTGCCTGTGCCTGCGCCTGCGCAACGCTCTCTGCCTCCTCCCACTGGAAAACGCGGGAACGTGCTCCGCGGAGACTCAAGTACGGACAGCTGCAGGGCTCAAACGTGCACATTTTTACGGAGCATGCTCGGCCGAGAGGCCAAGGGGCGGCTCGGTTTCCCTTAGTTTGTCTTCGACTCTGTCGGCTTGTTGTTAAGTGCCGTAGAATCGGTTTCGATCCATAGAGACCCTGTATAGGGTTTCCAAGGAGCGGCTGCTGAACTGCCAACCTTGCGGTTCAAACCAACTTTACAGTCCAGCGCACTAACCAACAGCGCCAGAACTGTTTTAACCTTGTTAATTGCCAAGCAGAAGAGAGATGCACGTGAAACGTCAATTAAGAGAAACTGAATCATAAGCTAGGACGATGGGTTGGATGAAGAGGCTGCTGCTCTGATACGGTACCGTGTATTTCCAGGAAACTACCGGCCTGCATTCCTACTCTCTGTTGTTGTGTGCGGATGAGTCGGCTTCGACTCAGATGTATAACAAGTGTTTCCGAGGCTGTAAATCTTGAGGAGCACAAACCCACATCTCTGTCCCATGGATTCTGCTGACCTTGCAGTTAACGGCCTTACTCATAACTCACAACGCTCCCTACCAGGGATCCTTGTTGTTGTTGAGTAGAGTCTGTTCTGATTTATAGCCACCCTGTATAGGATTTCCAAGGAGTGACTGTTAAGTTTGAACTGCTGGTTCAAAGAGACCTTGAGGTCAAGTATTTTATCCTACATGTGTGGACCTGGACTTCTCCTGCTCTGCTATTTTTTGTTAAATGTCCTCAACTCAGCTCCAACTCATAGGGACCCGGGATAGTCTGACTCTAGACCCTTCTATTGTTACGTGCCGTCGAGTCGGTTCCGATACATAGTGACCCTTTATAGGATTTCTGCGGAGCGGCTGGTGAGCTTGAACCACTGACCTTGCAGTTCAAACCGACTAAGCAGTCCAGCACATTAACCCGCAGTGCCACACCGGGGCTCTGGACCCTACTATATTTACAGTTTAATCTTTCTGACAACAGGGCTCTTCCGGAAGTCTACCCAGGATTTAAAGAAAAAAACAAAAAACTAAATCCACTTCCACTTGTTGATTCCTACTCACATTGATCCTGTAGGGCAGAGTAGAACTCTCTCATAGGGTTTTCAAGGCTGTAATCTTTCAGGGAACTCCTGATGTGGAATCAGCACTGGATTGAGAACCACAAGGTTGGCAGTTCAAACCCACCAGCTGTTCCTCGAAAACTCACACTATGAAACGAAAACCGCCTCTATTGCAATTAACAACAAGAGTTGGAACTGATTCAACACTTAACAAAAACAACCTGGTTTTAATATGGAGTCTTGGTGTGGTGCTGCTGGATAATGCACTGGACCACAAGGTCAACTTGAAATGCAAGGTCGGTGGTTCAAACCCACCAGCTGCTCCTAGGAAACTTTGTACAGGTCGCTATGAGTCGGAGTCAACTCGACGGCACTTAACAACATGGTTTTAAAATAGATCCAAAGTTATAACAACTAAGATTCATTCTTTCCCTTGATGCTAGCAAGAAGCAAAGTTTCCATAGCCCATAAAAACATGTGGATGTTTTCTATGCCTAATATTAAGTGATATAAGGATGAATCCTTTTGCACAGTACTTTAACCCTTATACTTGCAGGAAGAACAGTAGTTTCTGCTAGGGAACCGCAGATCCTCTAGCTGCAAAAGGCAACCTGCAATGTGGGTCACTAGGAGCTCTAGTAGCGTAGTGGTTACGAATCGGGCTGCGAACTTCACGGTCAGCAGTTCGAAACTACCAGCTGTTCAGCGGGAGAAAGATGAGGCTTTCTGCTCCCATAAAGATGTACAGCCTTGGAAACCCTGTACAGGGTCGCTATGAGTCGGAAACCGACTCCACGGCACATAACAACAACAATATGAATCACTAAGGATCTCTGGTAGCATAGTGGTTACGAATCGTGCTGCGAATTTTAAGGTCAGCGGTTCGAAACAGCCAGCTGTTCTGCGGGAGAAAGATGAGGCTTTCTGCTCCCATAAAGATTTACAGCCTCAGAAACCCTGTACAGGGTCGCTATGGGTCGGAATCGACTCAACAGCGCTTAACAACAATATGGGTCACTAGCCGCCCCTCCAGAGATGCTTGGCAGACTATCCTTTTAAGAAATCCACAAGGACTGCAGGTGTTTCGCAATCACAGCTCTACCTAATGTGGCTGGAGAACTTCAATACAATTTAAAAACTCAGTTCCACAGTGCCATGCAGATCTTAGGGGAGCTGCAGATCAGACGAGGTGTTTTTTAAAGGGCTTTAATTTTTTAGATACTTAAAAATTACCACTTGGCTCTGCCTAGCCAAGACAAACCCCACCTCTCTGCACCGTCAAAAGTCCTGACTGCGTGTGGAATATTGGAGACCGAAAGACCGCGAAGGTGTGAAGAAGAGACAGCGCGACCAATCCTGGCCAGGCAGTTCTGCGCCAGGGCCTCCGCAGCTCTTGTTCCCAGAACGCGCTGCGAGTAGGCCGCGCCTTTGTGACATCATCAATCAGCGCGCAGGCCACACACCGCGCGCCTGCAGCTTTCCCGGGCTTCCTCAGCATTCTGCGCAGTCGCGGCCCGGGCAGCACCGTGTAGGTTGCAGCTGGTGGCTGAGGGGACCCGTGCTGCGTGGCCTGGGATGCTCCAGTTGGTACGATGGCCACTGCTATGCAACCAGCCGAGATCCAGTTTGCCCAGCGGCTGGCGTCCAATGAGAAAGGGATCCGGGACCGAGCAGTGAAGAAGCTGCGCCAGTATATCAGCGTGAAAACGCAGGAAACAGGTGGGCTTCAGTAGTCTTCGCGCTGTGCACATGGCTGGCCCGAGCAGGCTGTGGCCGCTGGGAGGGCCTGGCCGCCCGAGGTGCGGAACCCACCTTTGGGCTGGCGGACTCCTGGAGAAACAGCTCAGAGGCGATGCTGGCAGGCAGGCTGAGAAAGGGAACGGTGCTTCAATTTCAGCTTTGTGCAATGATCCGTAACATCCATTGCGTGCTTGGGTGTATCCAACACTAGCGACCGCTTGCTGTGTGTAGTCCCATTTTACGTTTGAGAAGATGAGAACCGAGAAGGATTAGTTAAGCAACTTGTAGAAAGTGACACTCAGTGAGCGCGGAAGCGGAGATGAGACTCAGGTTTGTCTAGTTCCCGAGCCTGCGCATGAGAGCACTAGACTCAGCCAGGTTTATACCCATCGTTGATGCATACCGCATACCGTCTTTTGACCAACACCTTTAGGGACTTTACAAGAAACCGCCACTACCCACAACAAACTTATTATAGTAAAGCTGAGGAGCGGGGAGAGATGAGCAAATCAAATGGAACTTATGTAAGTGTAGTGAAGGAAATGGAAAACGGGTAATATGTTAAAGGTTTTAAAAAAAGAAAGAGTCTCTCCTCTAGCCAGGCTGTTCCTGGAAGGCCTCTCTAAATTTATGTTCTGAGATCTAAAAAGAGAGGAAGCTAGTCACGCAGAGAGGCAAGAAAGCTGAGCATGCACTAGGCTTTAATGCTAGTGCCCACAAACACTGGTAGGAAGAAGAGTAAAGGAGGGTGAGGGGTTCCTAAACTGGATCACACAGAACTTTGTGATTAGGATTTTAATTGTATGGTGTGTCACTAGAGGATTTCATATCTTGATACGCTCCTGTAAACCCTGGAGTGTGCAATAGAGATTTTATGTGGTATTAAGATAAAGTTTGATTCATTTACTGTTGCTACTAATGCATTTAGTACTTAGTTGAAAGAATAGCTATTCTAACTCTTCACAGATAAGCTTATTTAGTTTCTTCTATTTTGAAGAAAAATCACCTAAGATGAGCCAGGAAAAATAAAATAGAATTTTATGGGAGATCTGCAGGCAGAAAAGGGAATGAAGACTGAAAATCTTGACTTCAATTCCCTTAAGACCTTAGTTGAGAGATTTCAGTTGTGGCACTGTAGGATAAGCACTGGACTGCTTACTGCAAGGTCAGCAGTTCAAACCCACCAGCCACTCCTCAGAAATCCTATACAGCATCGCTATGAGTCAGACCAACTCAACAGAAATTAACAACGTATGCAGTAGTGATTCCTCTCCTGAATTTCCTCAATCCCAACCTTTTCAACTTTGAGTTTAGCCAGACACCTGGATGACTCAGGCCCTGAGCAGGTTCAGAATGCCCAAAACCAAACTGATTCATTTTTCTTCTTTCCAAGCTGTTCCCTTCTGCTCTGTTCTGTTCCTTCTCTGACTCCTCTTTTATTTTGATTTTTTGTACTCAAAATCCTCTCATTCGCATATATAGCTGGACACATGGTATTATCCTGAACTGTTCTCGCTGCTTCATCTTTCTTCCTCCCCACCCCCCAGTCCTACATCTAGTGGCTGTAGTTACTTATTTCGCCTTCTGAATTACTCCACTGTTAATCATAAAACAAAACACACTGCCGTCAAGACAATTCCATCTCATAAGGACCCTGTAGGACAGAGTAGAACTGCCTTAGAAGGTTTCCAAGGCTGTAAATCTTTATATGAAAACAGACTACCACATCTTTCTGCCATGGAGTTAACTTAGTAGGTTTGAACCTCCAACCTTTCCTTTAGCAGTCGAGTGCTTAACTGTTGTGTTGCCAGGGCTCCCTTTCCTCTTTATCTCATCAGGACTAACACACCTGCTTGCTTCTTATCTAATCTCTTTATCTCCAGTTGTGTAACCCTTTAGCCTGTCCTGCACAGACTGATCCATGGTTACCTTCCTAAATCAAATCTGATCCACCATGTCACTACTGTTCTTGAAACTCAGGCTCCCCTCTCAGCACTCACCTGCTTCCTGCTTTGTTAGCAATGTGTTCCTCCTCATGGGCAGCATATCTCTGCTCTTGCTTCTCCTGTTCACACAGGAAAGAAGCCCTTTGCTCCCAACATTCAGTTCAATATCACTTCCTCCAAAAGCTTCCCCTAATTGTTGCACCCCTACTGTTTGTGATAAGTGCTTTCGAGTCAATTCTTACTCATATCAATTATCAATCCTGTGTAGGGTTTCCAAGGAGCGGCTGGTGGGTTTGAACCGCCAACCTAGTGGTTGGCAGTCAAGTGTGTAGCACTAAGCTATTGTTGTTGTTGTCAGGTGCCATCGAGTCGAAACCGACTCATAGCGACCCCATGTACAGCAGAACGAAACAATGTCCGATCCCAGGATCTGACATTGTTTCGTTCTGCTGTGCAATACTGCTTCTTAATTAGCCGTTGAGTCTTATACTGGGTGTAGTGAAGGAATTTGAAGTTTTACTCTCAGCAATCCCTGTAGCTGTTCATCAGGAATCTTTGTACAGCTTCAAGTAACTGGCTGTCGCTCTGGTTCTTTCACTGTTTGTGTTGGGCATTCACAGCCATGGAATGATGATCACTGTCCTTGGTTTAAGTTCCACTTGCCTATTCATTCATATATTCAGCAAGCATGTAGGGGCACCTGCTATATGCGGTTTTGTCTACTACTGGCATTATGGGTAGAACAATAGACAGAAATCCTCCCTGCCTGGTTTTTACTGATTTTGTAATTTTTACAATTTACAACCAACTTTGTGAATGTTTATTTGCCACATTAAATAACAATACATGTTAAAAAGAATGCTGTTCTGAATTCAGTGAAGATGATGGAGGAGTAAGTGGTTTTCCATGCTGATAAGGGTAGGATCATCTCAACTCAGTGGTGTAACTGGTGGAAGTTGTGGTTGTGGCAGTGGAGTGGGCTAGATATAAAAATCACCCCCACTTGAAATGACTTCTGTGCTCATTTTGTGGTGAAAATAACTGTTGATTTTTCTCATTTCAAAGCTTTTTGGTGTTTGTCCACATGTCTCATTTTCACATTCAGTTCATTCATTTTGAAGTAACTAAACCTATGTTGTTTTCAGAAACTAATTGTAGTTCTGGCCTCAAGAAGAAAAGGCAGATTAAAAGGACATTGGAATGAAACTACTTCACATACATAATTTGCTTGCCCTTTCTGAGTTTTGAAAAATAGTAATGAGCATTTCTCTATTTTTCATTAAATGTTTGAAAACTTAACACCTTGTTTTTGTCAACTAAATCCTTGGGTGGGGACAAATTATTGTTAACACTCATGTTGAAAGTGGTTGTTTAAAAGAAAAATGCTTGAATAGAATAGGAGATAATCATTATAACGATCCCCACCAAGTAAATAGTGTTTTTACTGTTAGAAAGTGCGTCTTACACAGGCTCAGATTTTTTGACCTAACCATAATTATCCCTAACCTGTTTTACAGGTGAGGAAACTGAAATCCACTGTTCAGTTGTCAGTTTTCTAAGGTTGCACATCTTGGGCTTAACCATGGACTTATTTCCCTGTACTTTGCTGCTTCCCATAGAGATGAGGAGTCCTGGAGTGGTGTTATGGGTTAATGCGCTGGACTGCAAAGTTAGCTTGATCCACAAGGTCAGCGATTCAAGCTCACCAGCCGCTCCTTGGAAACCCTATATAGGGTCACTATGGGTCAGAACCAACTCAGTGGCACTTAACAACCCTATAGGGTTTCCAAGGAGCCGCTGATGGGTTTGAACCACCACCTTGTGGTTCAACTCAATCTTGCGATCTAGTGCTTAAACTATAGCACCATACCAGGACGCCATGTACAAGAGCCATCTGCAAATAAATAGATACCTTTTTTTTTTTTTTCCTGCAGAGCTTTGGTGATGCAGTAGTTAACATGACCATCTGCTAACCAAAGGTCAGCAGAGCAGCCACTCCCTGGGAGCAAAATGAGGCAATGTACTTCTTCCATAAGGGTTGCAGCCTTGGAAACCGTACAGGGCAGTTTTGCTCTGTGCAGTAGGGTGGCTGTGTGGGTCAGAGTCAAGTAGACAAACAGGCAACTATTATTAAATGAAAAAGACCATTTCTGTTACACACACATATGTAACTATGTATTTCTTATATCCTTCCTACCTTGCACATAGGTATGTGAATGCATATAAAGGGGTCTGGAAAGATCCACATCCCTCAGGAAGCAGTGATTCTTCTAGGAAGGGGACTGAGATTCTGGAAGCAGTCAGCAAACCAAATTCTTAGTTGTATATGTCTCTCCCCCCGCCCCCCAACTTGCAAGGACATTCAAACCACATTAGTTTTGAGGGGAACAATTGAGACATAGCTTTATACAGGACCTCATCAATTGGCCAGACCCAATTGTTTCTCCATCTTCAGCCATCCCACCCCCTTCCTTGATGTGGGCAGGTACTTTTGTGCAGCTGTGCACTTCACCTTCCCTTCCAGCGTAGTGAAAAAGAGCTGAGGCTCTCTTAAAGCTTTACAAAAGGCTCTTCATCCACAGAGGGGTCATTGGTCCATTCCTGAGCTAGTCCTGCTACCAAGGATTAGACTTCCATCCACCAGTGAGCTTGTCCAGACCACTGCCCCCGACGCAGAGTTGTGGGGGTGACCATATACATGTCTGCTCAGCCAACACCAGGAGTGCCCAGTACCTGACCCTCATGTAGTGTGAATCATCTGTTGCTTTTAAGTGCATCACTGTTTATGTCTTTCTAGTTTCCTTTATGGGAAGCTTTTTAAAATTCCAAAAAGATGCACAGTCTACAGTAATTTCATGTCGTCTTTTTGTTAAGAAAAATTTCAAGTATATAAAAAGTACACTTATGAATCAACTTTTAACATTTACTGATACAGGTCCATTTTTCTAGTCTCTAGCCTCTCTTCCTCCTCCACAATAGAGTATTGTGAACAAGTTCCAACTACTCACTTTTATCTCCACATGCTTTACTTTA